GGCAACTGATAATTAGCACAAAACAGTTGAGGCTGATGTGATTGGTGGGATGTCATTAATTTTGCAGGTATCTGGTCATAAAGTATAAACATTGAAAATGTTGACCTGATGATGATGCTAGATGAAAATTATTATTGAATTATCATATAATACAATGCTTAAATGAATAATTGTAATGCAATGCAATTTGTCTGTCACTATATGTCAAATTAAACAAGTTCCAAATTAAATGTATTTGTATTTATTTATTTATTCATTTACATATATACACATTTGTAGCTATTCATTTGTATATTTATTTATTTATTTATTTGCATATTTATATAGTTTAATTTTGTTATATACACTTTCATTTATCATCTTGTTGCATCAAAACAAATAAATGTGTCAGCTTCATCCATTAAAAGTTAGTGGGCAGGTAAATCCTCTAATTGGTTGATCGTACCGTGAGTTTGGACTGTGATGGAGGGACTCCAGATTCACTCCTGAAGTCGGGGCCTGTGTGGAATAACGACATAACAATTTGTGCTTTTCTTGGTTTCACAAAAAAACCTCTTCATCGTAGATTCTCCCCCTTTATACCTCCCTGCAGCTGTATTTCCCTTTCTCTACTCTAATCAATTGTCAGCGAGAGAGAATATTGTTCATCAGATGACCAAAGTCTCAACTCCAACTACTGCTGCTCTATGCTGCCATCTAGTGGTTGCTGGATTATAGTGCAATGCTACATGACAGCCTGGGGCCTGGATGCATAAATGATATTTACGCACAAAATCCACGCTCACACCTTTTTCCCTCAGATACAATGGTGTGAATGGTGTGTGGAGAAAATGTGCGCACCTCCCACATAATTCAGACGAGGTCTCTTTTTCAGTTTTAAAGACTTGACTGTGGATGAAATGATCACGTGGATATGAGATTTAAATTGAGAGATGGTTGTTATTTTGTAGTCTACAAAGTGTACTGTAAAATGTTACCCAGAGGCACATTAATAATGAAATAATAATAATTTTATAACATATTTTATTAATATATATTATAATTATTATATTTTATTTATATTATATTTATGAGTGAATTAATTGTATCATTATTTTTTTATTTACATTTGCCTTTCCCTGTTAATATTTTAGTTTGATGCTGATGAACTGTTTCAATATTCAGTATGAGCTGTATAGATTAATTATTGATCATCCTACTGATGTTCAACAATAATTATTTAAATATTACCGCAAAGGTTATTAGGTGGTTTTAATAGCCACAGCTGTGTGTAATGGTGGTAAACAGCTGTTCTGATACCTCGCTAAATGTGACACAATCACTTATTTTCTTCTTTGTTGTTCCTTTCATTGACAATTGAGGGGGCACAAGTATCAATATACAAAGGGTTGTTTCATTTCCACTACGATTGAGATTTGTAAACAGAATCAGGAGTTCGTGCGGTATTAAAAATCTGAAGAAAAGAAGTATGTATGAAGTGAAGTATGCATATTTCTGCCTTAGTGCTTATGTAAGGACAGAGCATGTGTGCGTGTGTCTGTAAGATACAGAGAAGAAAGAAAGAGAAAACAAAAAGTGAAAGTTAACTTTATTTCGGATTTTTAATACTTGATTAATATTTTAAAGCTGACAGCTGACAAACACAGCAACAGTCTACTCAGACTGACATTTAAACACGATTGATTTATTTATGCTGTTAAAAATGCACTAATCAACAGATCAAACTGACACTCAGTGGTTTGCTTGTGAAACAGGAATAAGTGACTAAAGTTTGAAGCACAAGAAGCACAACCTATTACATATGAATAAACATGATCATTCAATGGTTAAAGATGCAAGATATATGACTTATTAATGACAAATTCTGTCCCCTTCTCCAAGAGTCATTGTAGGTTTTAACTTTGGCTGTGAGAGTTAGTGACTCAGACAGACTGTTTCCTGTCTCTGCTCAGTCAACTGTATCATATGCCATCTCTCACTAGTCTCAGGACACCAAAAAAAGCTCTTAACGTCGCATCTTTTGCAATACCAGCCAATCTAAGCCCGAGATTCTTAAATGCATTAACCCTAGCCTGCACTCTAACCTCTATCGCTGACAAGTTTCCTGATGGCTGTCTAATGAGCTCCACTTCGTCCTGTATTTCCTCCTCCACTGCTTGAAGCATCTCATTGTTGTAGCAGCTTCCATTGTTTTTTTTCACCATCTTGTCTATAGACTTAAGTAGCTCCTCCACCTGGAACTGGTTGCTCCTGTATTCATCCTTTGGGTTTTTGTTCCAGTATTTATTATCAATTACGAAGCACCTCCCACCACATTTCTCCACCAGACCTCTCACAAACTTATTCTGACTGACAAAATTCTGTATTGTCTGTCCTTCAGGGAGCTGGTCACCATGAGTGAAGACAACTGTTGCATATTTGAAGACTTCTTCAGAAAAGTATTGGATTATTTTGGTGATGACAGCCTGCTCCTGCTCTATGAATTTCTCCACTTTAAGCACAATGAGAAAAGCATGAGGCCCAGGAGTGCACTCTATGATACACCTCACTATCTCACGCTTCAGCTCCTCCTCAGATCTATCTGTGTCAAAGAAACCAGGAGTGTCGATCAAAGTGATCTCTCTTCCATTGACAGATTTGGTTTCTGCTTGACATTTTTTTGTTTCAGAGTTGAGAGTTTGGCCCGGAACAAACAAATCCTCTCCAAATATGGTGTTAGCCAGGCTGCTTTTCCCAACTCCAGTTTTTCCCAAGATGGCGATTCTTCTGTTTGACACTGCAAGAGAACAATTTCCATCAATAATACTGCAGTTTGTACTAATAAAATATCTTTGAGAGAATGATGAATGGAAGAATAATCTATTGTGGAACACTGATGATCAGAGAGTCCTTGTGTATCTGACAACAATTCAGATTCGATAGGCCTACTTACATTTACCTAACTGGTGATTAAATGTAAATGTAGACTGAAATAATGTCGAAAGACTAATACATTTAGCACACTTGGCAACAACCAAGTTTACGACCTGCCAACGACAATGATTGTAATTTTTTTCGGGTGACTAAAATTAAAAGCTGCTAACTAAATGTTGTATCCACTTTTCATTGTTAATGAGGAAGAGAGAGGAGAATTGACTGATCTGTTCCATTGACAGTATATACCCATAAAATGAGTTGAGTCCTAATTTTCAAAACAGAGTCATTCACCGGTGCAACCTTTGTGACATTCACTCTTTTCACTCTTGTATGGAGCAAAATATTCACAGTGTCGAGGTCTG